TCTCCTCCTCCTCCTCCTCGTCCTCTTCTCCTCCTCCTCGCTTCCTCCTTCTCTTCTTCCTCCTCCTCCTCCTCCTCCTCCTCCTCCTCCTCCTCCTCCTCCTCCTTGGGAGTGCTGAAACCAGCAAATCGCCTGAGACATCCTCCCAAAACTGCTCCGAAAACGACAGATGCCCAGCATCATAACGGCCAAACCGCCTGAGACATCCCCGCAAACTGGGCGCGAACGTCCTCCAAATCTGCTCCGAAAGCGAAACATGTTGGAAGAGAAAATGGCCACACCGCCTGAGACATCCCCACAAAATCCCGCGAAAGGGGCCAAGTGAAATACCCCCCCGCCGCTCCCCTTAGAGTGCTGAAACCAGCGATCGCCTGAGACATCCTCCAAATCTGCTCCGAAAGCGAAACATGTTGGAAGAGAAAATGGCCAAACCACTGAAACATCCCCACAAAATCCCGCGAAAGGGGCCGAGTGAAATACCCCCCCGCCGCTCCCCTTAGAGTGCTGAAACCAGCGAATCGCCTGAGGCATCCTCCAAATCTGCTCCGAAAGCGAAACATGTTGGAAGAGAAGATGGCCAAACCGCCTGAGACATCCCTACAACATCCAGCGAAAAGGGCCCAGTGAAATACCCCCCCGCCGCTCCCCTTAGGAGTGTTGAAGCCAGCGAATCGCCTGACACATCCTCCAAATCTGCTCCGAAAGCGAAACATGTTGGAAGAGAAAATGGCCAAACCGCGTGAGACATCCCCACAAAATCCTGCGAAAGGGGCCGAATGAAATACCCCCCCGCCGCTCCCCTTTAGGAGTGCTGAATCCACAGAATCGCCTGCGACATCCTCAACATCAGCGTGTGTGAGTCATCCGATGAGTTGACCTGAGTGAGTGTAGCGAATGTATGAGTACAAGTACGAGTGAGTCTGAGTGATGAGTGAATCTGAATGATGAGTGGGTCTGAGTGATGAGTGAGTCTGAGTGATGAGTGATGAGTCCGAGTCTTGACTGAGTCCGAGTGATGAGTGAGTCTGAATGATGAGTGATTCTGAGTGATGAGTGGGTCTGAATGATGAGTGAGTCTGAGTGATGAGTGAGTGGGTCTGAGTGAGAAGAGTGGTGTGTTCTCTCTCCTCCGGCGCGGTCCGCCAATTATTCACTGCGTGGAGCTCCCCATATGCGCATCTATTCGCATGGACCTGTCCGCCGTGAATGTCTAGGCGCAATAACTTTCGAATATACACGGGCTTCAATTGTGACGGTCTGGACATAAATCTAACTGCGAATGAATTGGAGCGTGAATGAGCCTCAGTAGTACGAGCGCGTCTTTGTGCATGAGCCTGGGGCCTCCTGGGGCCTCCTGAAACCTACTGGGGCTTCCTGGGGTCTCCAGGAGCCTCTTGGGGCCTCCTGGGACCTCCTAGGGAGGTCTCGTGCCCCAGGAGAGGCGCAACATATAGCAACAGACGTACATAAAACATTGCGGATTAGAGCCACAGGAGAAGGGCAATATATTATAGGAACACGCGTAAAACTCGTGCCCCAGGAGAGGCCCAATATATAGGAACATAAGTAAAACATGTAGGATTGTGTACACAGGAGAAGGACAATCTATAGAAACATACGTATAACATCAAAGAATCGTGCTCCAGGTGAGGCCAAATCGATAGGAGCATACGTAAAACACATGAGATTGGAGCCACTCCTGTTGCCTTCCGAGGCCTCCTGCTCCTGGGGCCTCTCGGGGCCTCTCGTTGCCTTCCGAGGCCTCCTGGCGTTTCTTGTTGCCTCCTGGGGCCTCCTGTGGTTTCCTGAGGCCTTCTGGAGCTTCCTGGGGCCTCCTGGAGCCTCTTGCGACATCCTGTGGCATCTTGAATCGGTTTGTCGCCTCCTGATGCCTCCTGGGACCTCATGTGGTCTCCTGGGGCCTCCTGGAGCCTGTTGGAGCCCCCTGTGGCATCCTGAGAAGAATCTGCGCCCACGAGCCTGGCCACCAAAACAAGCAAACCGATCGAGACATCCTCAAAATCTGGCCCACCTGGGGGTGAAAATGAGCGCCTCGCTCGAGACATCCTCCAAATATGCTCCAAAAGCGGAGATGTTGGCACAGCCCCACAAAATCACACGAAAGGGGCCGAGTGCAATACCCCCCCGCCGCTCCCCTTAGGAACGTGAACATGAGCGCCTCGCTCGAGACATCCTCCAAATCTGCTCCGAAAGCGAAGGATGTTGAGACAGAAAACAGGCAAACCGCTCGAGACATCCACACAAAATTCCGCGAACGGGACCCCGTGCACTACCCCCCCGCCGCTCCCCTTAGGAACGTGAACATGAGCGCCTCGCTCGAGACATCCTCCAACTCTGCTCCGAAAGCGAAGGATGTTGGGACAGAAAACAGGCAAACCGCTCGAGACATCCACACAAAATTCCGCGAACGGGACCCCGTGAGATACCCCCCCCTGCCGCTCCCCTTAGGAACGTGAAAATGAGCGCCTCGCTCGAGACATCCTCCAAATCTGCTCCGAAAGCGAAGGATGTTGGGACAGAAAACAAGCAAACCGC